TACTACTTTTTGCCAGTAACTATCAATTTTTAAGTGAGATTGATATATACAACTTCATTCAATTCATGTGTTTAAAATTGTGAACTCTAATTTGCAAACCCCAAAACAACATAAAACCTAATATACCTATTGCTATTTACAACCAAGAGAGCTATAACCTAGCTTCCTATAGAATAATTACATTTATATTTATATAATTGTTTTCTTAATCTACAAAGTAATACTAGAAATAATAGTAATTTGTTCCCTTTGGAGTAGAGACTCTTGGGCCTTGAATGTTAGGTTCATTTTCACGTGTAACAAGAGTTTTAGATTTGCCGCCAATTCACAAAAACAAATGAAGTCATTAGGTTACCAAAGAGTTTTAAAATTGAAATTCAAAAAAGTTTTCATTAGCAGTGTAAACAATTATGCAATCTTCTCTTATCTCTATTTCTAACTGGCCAGTTCTAAACATTTTTAGTATTACCCATATATGTATGTATTAGATGTACAATATTCGTTTATGTACACAAGAATATTGCTACAGGTAATGCATATATAAATGTGAACCACTTCAATGGCTAAACAAGACAGGTCAATTAATGCAATTGCCAAAAATAAAACAATCAAATACTTATCATACAATTTTTATTTATTCATTACTCTAACAGGTTTTGTATTCTCATATTAACTAGTAGCAAATCACTGATATAAACAAAAGTTAATTGATATGAATATAAACTTAAAATCAGCTTAAAACTTAAATTTATATCTAAGATATTGGAGCACCTATATCAAATCAAAAGTTTCTTAAGGGTCATAATTTCATACTAGACTAGGTTTCTATTTTATAATCTTTATAAATCCCTTTTTCATGTAATTGAGTACTTGCTGTTTTACAGTTCTCACTTTTAAAAGTAGAAATATGTTTGAAACAATCAATTTTTATAAATTAAGCTGGAATTGGATATATGTGTATACATAAACGGAGACAATTCAAACTAGTAGAATATAACTAATCAAATTTAGACTTATTCCAATGATATTAACTCAAAATCTGCATTAAAATTGATATTGAAAATGTTCAATCACAAACATCAAACCCAAAGCTTTCAACAAACACTAATTTTAGTGTTTACACTACTCTTGTGTTTTTGCACATAGTTTTTCCTTGGACTATCAACTGCTAATCAATCCTCTCTTATCTCTATTTATCAATCAGCAGTACTATTTTTATTCTTCAAAGCGGTAACTGAATATGTTGCTTTTTCATTCTACAGATTAGTTGTTGTGAATCCTAAAAATATAAAAGTATGAGTACTTCTAATTATTAGATATCGCGATTTTGCAGTATTTTGTTTTTGAAAAAATAAAAAGATTGATGGGTTTTAACCATGTCTCATTAAGTAAACAAATATCAATATTATTTTCATTTATTTATATTTTGTAAGATGTTTTTATGATTTGCACCTTGGATATTGAATTGCGCAATACGTTGAGAGGGTGTAGTATATGGTTGTGTATCCATTATGTTGACAGATTTTTAATTGGTAAATCTTTAATTAATGTTGTAGTGATAGGTTCATTATCATTCTTATTATATCATTGATACTTACAGCCTGTGAGATAGGCTTAATATTTACAGATTTATTTACATATTTGGGTACATGATTTACACTAATCACTTTTTTGTTTATAGAGCGTGGTAGAAGAGAAGTGAACTCAACATTATCTTTTGCGATGGCAACGCTTGCATATGTTATTTTATTTTTCTTTTCTAGAATTTTCTTTATTTTTATGGGACACAGTTTAGATATAGCTAAATGAGGTTCACTGCAATTTACGCAGCAAAACTGCAGTCTTTATAAGAATGTTCACCTGAACAAATAGACAACGATGTTACCATACCAATATTTTTGCATAATGATTCAATTTAAAACATTTAAAAATATTGTTGGAGAAGAGGAACATACTCAAATACTGTAAAAAAATAAATCATATTGGACACTCACGGGTAAAGAATTTGCCAGAAATGTGATGCTAACAGTTTGTGTTCCTACTAATACGAAGTCAACTTAGTAAATGGTCCTTCATTTGAAATATTTGCAGGCACAAATCTAATACCAGTTTTTTCAATTTGAGCTGCTGGAATATATGCTTTCATTTCATGTTTTTCAAGAAAGCTGATATTGTGTATAAAGTTGTTAGCCGTATTGTGTTGTTTGAAAGTAACAACAATTTTATTTGCGCTAATACGCCTTATTGCCACCACGCCTTTAATATCTGAAAATTTATGATTTAAATAGATTGGACTTTTATTTTCCAGTCTGTCCTTAATGTTTTTGCTTTCAATGAAAACCTTAAATTCCGTATCATTTGAATTTTCTAGGTAAAATCTTTTATAATTAGGCTTGAGATATGGCATATAAAAGTCATTCTCACCACCTCCGCCGCCAGCATCAGAAACATCCTGGAGATCTTCCAGTCGCCATCGTGGTCTCTTTTTAGAGGTGGGCGGGTCAGGAAAGCTTTGTTTCTGACACATGTCTTCGATTTTTGGCTCTACCTGCCGGTTTGTTTATGATTGCACTGTACGATCCATTGCTAATAGCTATTATGCTAATAGATATAAGATTTATATCTTTTGGTGCACAGTCGGTGTTAAGTATGATCTCAAGGTTAACGGTCGCAAATTAGGTAAACAGTTTTATAATTAGTATTGCCAAAAAAGTATAATTAAAAAGTATTAATTATTTAAAATTTCCTTAAAAACTTCAACCTTCAATTTTTTTATTAAATATCTAAGAACCGACTCAAAAACGCACTGAACAATATACGTTCATTCCTTCGTAATTAACATCCTCAGGTGCGGCACTGCACGATTTGGATTGTCGTTTCTTGTAAAAACAGCAAAGGAGTGGAAGTCCTTCCATCTTCCTTAGTCAAATATGGGTTCATTTAAGCGGAGGCTAAATGGGCATCTCAAGGACAGGCGTCTTCTTCGATAGGCCGCATCTCACTTACAGGAGGGATCGCAGCCAAACGTCTGTCCAGTTCTGTATAAGAAAAAAGTATGAAATAACAATAATTGCAATTATATATAATTTAAAAACTCGGAACCTGTACCGTACTATAAATATTTCCCAGAAACGGTTCTATAAATTGATACTCATAAGTTGTACTTTGATAGATCCAGAACAGACAAAACAATACACTACAATATACCAGAACATTTAATAGATTTATTTATTAAATTACAGCCCATGCATGGCCAAACTCAGACTAAAAATAACATAAAACTACAATAAAATACAATTCAGTTATTTACAAAATTGACAGTTAATGCTATCCTCTTATCCCCTCCAAGTATACTCTCAAGTCACAGTATACTACCCATACCATTCCCAAATAGGTCGCTCTCCGGCGAAGGCCTTACTAATGATGAATATAGCACCCTAGTGGCAGTGTCCGTCTGAACTTCGCAGGACAAACTCTAATCTCCTAAATGCAGCATACGTAATCGTCCGAATATGCTCAGCAAATGAAAGATCGGGAACAAACAAAACACCCAAGTCGCCGACTCTGTCTACGTGCCTAATAACTTTCGATCCTATGCTATAGTTGCAGAGTATTTTATTTGGAGAGGCACTAAAGGACATCACTTCACATTTGTCATAGTTGAAGTTGAGTTTATTTAATTCACTCCAATGCAGCAGTTCATCCAAATCAAGTTGCATACACAGACGATCATTGCATCATCATCAGAAAATCAAAAAACTTAAGCAGAACAGGTCCACCCCCAATTGCGGCCAACTTTTGGAGAAGAATGTCGTTGTCTACTCGATCGAACGCTTTGTGATAAGCCAAATATACTATATCCACCTGACACCGCTTATTAATTTCACGCGATACCATGTCAGCCAAAGACAATAGATTAGTATTAACTGATCTGCGTGGAAGAAAGGCGTGCTGGGAAGGAGTGATGTGGGGAATGCATTTAGGCAACATTAACGAGTGTAAAGACATTTCAAACACCTTCGCCAGCGTACACAGAATCGCGATAGGCCTGTAGTTTTCAGCTCTGCTTCTACAATCAGCTTTAGGAACTGGGGTCACGCGGGATGTCTTAGATATCGCCATACCCAACTCCCACAATTTACAAGAAACAATAGCTCGTAAACCTCCCGAAATCCATTTATATCATTCAAAAAGCAGTAGTATTTAATACAGCAAGCCGAATTTTACCCGCAAATTTCTACGAACTGGGTTCACTTGGCTTAGGCCCATGTGCAACAGTGTACCTGGTTTGAGTCTCGATCTTGAGCTAAAGTAAACAGTACCAAACATAACAATAATAAATCGTTTATTCGCTAAGAATGTGGTACATTCTGTTTGATTAATAATTGAGGGGTATAGTATCAAAGGCAGCTAAATCCTTATGAAATTATTTTCCACAAAACGAAAAAACTGTTATTTTCATTTGGCAATACCGTAAATACGACTGTTTGACAGGATGCTCTGGTACATAATAAGCAGGTGTACCAACACACGTATCTTGTAAGAGGAGGGTAGAACGGCTATTTTAAATAAATTGTGCTGTACATAGCTGTGTTTGATACCACCTATTGGATTTAGCTGTCTTTGATTCAGTCAATTATGGATATAGCTGCCTTTGATTGCAACACTGGGCTGATGACGTCACGACGCTAGAGATGTACGCATGACATCAGAAACATCGAATGGTGTGGATAATGGTATGATAATATATGAAAAAATAAATAGCATTTAATTTTATTTCCATTATAAGATATGTACGTTTGGCTAATATAAATGCGAAAGCAACAGTCAGTCAGTCAGAAAAGACAGTAAAAATGAAAACAAAATATGAAAAATCAACTTTATTAGTTTGTAAATTGTGAAGTAGGCAGCAAGGCGATTAAAATAATGTGTACCTTCATCGGATGAGAGGAGAGATGTTACGCTAAGATGATGAGATGTTACGTTAAAATATTTTATTGTTATATCCTTAGCGTAACATCTTCCTCGACTCCTTCACAAGTTTCGTCTTCCATGACATTTGTTTCATTTTCTCCATTATCTTCTAATAGCTGTAATTCTTCTTTATCTAGGTTAAATAAAACATTCTTGTAGTATACCAAATTAGGTAACTCCTTCCAGTCTTCACCATAATGCTTTTGTAGTAGATTTCTCAGATCTCTGAGCTTTAGTGGTTTTACATCTATGCCTTTTGAAATTGTAGACTGTTGTATCATTTCTGCGTTTTTTCCTTTTCGGTAAATAGTCCTGGGAGCACCTGTGTCAGAATTACAAAACAATTCGCCACGAATCATAACATCTCCCTGCTTTTTGGTCCGTCGAATAATGATACGCTTGCACTATCTTAAAATGGAGCTGGGCTGATGTTTTGACTATGTTCTGAATAGAAGTTTTCCAGTCCAGCACATCTATCTCATCAAGTTTTGTTACAGTTGCACATTCGCTAATAGTATATTCTGAAGGCTGTGTTATCACTTCAAGTTTGCGAATTATTTTTTCTATATTCCCGAACACACGATCCGCAGGCATAAAAGAGTGTCCAGTGACGGGAAATACTAGTTCTATTTTATTTATCAGCGGATGCTGCAAAATCCACCGTGAGCACATAGATACCATCATAAGATTTTTATTTTGTCCAGCGCACCCGTCGCATACTAAACGTAAGTGAGTAATATTCGTGAAATCAGATTTGTTTAATCTATCGTAAACAGCGGAGGCTATCTCATTTGCACCTTTTGCGTATTCATCTTCCGTCCACACATATGAAAATGTTGTGTTTTTATTCAAGGGGTCTTTGGTTCCTCATTAAACAATGGTGAAATTGTATAAGTATAGCTGCCTGCTGTAATAACAGCTTTGGTCAGGAACTTTTGGAAGGACCAAGTTTTTCTGGCAGTCAATGGAAAAAGTTGCCATCTGGTCTTTTTTTTCTCGTAGAAGTTTAAAAAATGCTTGAGATTTCAGTTTGTGTACCCTTTGTTCAATTATAAGCTGATTTGTTTTCGATACATCTTTTTCTGTTTTTATTTTTTCTTGCAACATTTAGAACACATATCAGTCCTAGGACTAACCTAACCTAAGTTAAAGTCTTTATTAAAAATTGCTCTGAAATACGATTGTTTGACTGGGCTTTACGATAAAAAATTTGAACAGCTTTCTTATGTTAAGTTCACTGGGTAGGTATTTTCGTTGAGTCGTTGACCCTCGGCAGTAATGCGACCCAACGCATTTCAGGGACTTTATAAAGGAATGCACTGCTTGTCTTTGTGTTGCATATTTCTTTTATTTATGGTCACCGCCCCGTTTTTCGCTCGGAAGTCGACCATTTGCAAAGAAATTTCTCATTACATTCTGGACGCGATATTTTGTGATTCCAAGTGTATTTAAAAATACCTTTTGGCAAACTGGTATAATTTGTAAATTTTTTGTATAGATTGTATACTTTATAGCAAAATCCCTGCCTTTTCTCACATTTTTGGTCGGTCGCTTCCTGTTAGTTTTATTTGCTGAACAGCATTTCAATATAAGAGCATCCTGATTCTTTTTAGCGGTGTTGCATAAAAAGCTCGATGGAAATTGAGTTGATCTCGAACACGAAGATTCTTACATGCAAAACTTTTGCTATTGTGATTACAGGTAATTCTACCAGGCAACGAATGCGACGAGTACATATGAAAAAATTTAAAATAAATTAAAATGTTTGACAACAATTTTATCGAACTTGCATTACAATGCGCACATCACTAGTCTATACTTACCTTTGAATTTTCGCCCTTTTTGCCTTCCATTTCTCCGGCTCTCTCTTGCGTTTTCTTCCTCTCCCGTGTATAGCTTCTGTTATTGGCACTTCCATATCACTTTCAGCTCTACTTTTAACGAAGGTTTGCCAATTAAATTGTCCAAAATACCACAAAATTTAAATAAAATCGACAGACGCAGACGCACGTTTTTAACTGAAATATATTGTATTATATATTGAAAAACGTAAAATAGATCGCTCTGATTGGCCAGCCGCGACTTTAGCTGGATTTGTTTCTCAGCATTATGGATATAGCTATCGTTGATTCTTATGCAGTTTATAACAGAACAGAGTGTGGATATAGCTGCCTTTGATTCTATACCCCTCAATTATAAACCGCACAATCAGGCATATAAAAATAGGCATGCAAATGTCATATTAATTATCTAAATTCATTCTGAAGATACTTGGTCTTATAAGTTGGAATATGTATAGCTAATTGAAATCTTGTTAATATATACGCTTGTGAAAAACTTACGAAAGTCTTAATATATAAATAATTACATTAATATAATATTATAATAAACGATAAATATAAGAGTCTTTCTTCCAATTTTGATCCGTTTGGAGTTGAGACTCTTAAACCGTTCAAGTGCATAGGCGCTAATTAAAGATTTCAGTTGGAACGTGGTGATACCGGTGACGACAGCTGGTGCTTTCCTGTCTCAACGAATAAGTATCGCGATACAGCGCCGAAATGCCAGCATTAAAGGTAACAACACAGGGACTAACTTTTTACATTTGCTTTAAATGTCTATTTTTAAATTTTTAATTATTTTTATTACGATGTAGGCTAAGGATACTGAAAATACTGTATATTTATGTAGTTATGAATAAAACACATTTTTCACTATTAATTATTAAATAGCTTAGTCAAGGTCATTAAGAAAGTACAATGAATAAAAATTTACATTTCAAAATAGCCTTGAAGGAGTAATCATGCCTCACCAACACTGAAAATATTAATTATAATATAAAAAAAATTGTAATTAACTTTTTAATCCGTTAAATGTATTTCTTTATCTACATAAAATTAATTACCCTAAAAAGAAAATTTTAAAAAAGGAATTAAATATTTTTCGTTTCTTTTTGATCTGTAAACAACGATGACAACGACACCAACCAATTTCTGAGGTTATTTGAGACAATGAGATTTGAAATGAAGGATCAGAATACAAGACTGGAAGAATCGTTAGCTAACAATATAATAAATAGAATAGATGAGAAGTTAAAACATATTTTTTTTGGTTTAAGAATAACTTTATTTCTCATAAGAATTGAAAATTCACTTACTGAGAAACACATATTTAAAACTAAGATTAAAAATTAGAGCGCACAGATGTAGGTACATATATAAAATAAGAAAACAGAACAGCACCAAAAATGTGGGTAGACATAAAAAACTTGGTCAGTCAACCAAGCGAAACTCGGATGTTAGAATTTAATTTTTTCTAGAATTTAATTTTTTTCTAGATGTGGCATTGATGGCATAGTCTGATATAACAAGTTTATATTGATTATTTTATTATTTTTCATAAGACTATTTTATTTTCAGTTTATTCCTACATTACTATTTAAACATTTTAACAAATTAAAATCACCTATAGGCAGATTTTGGTCAATATCAAATACAATTCTTTAACACCGTGGGTGGTGTTAGTTTAAAGTTCTTAAACATTATACATTTCAAGTGTTATCGCATTCTTGTCGATATATATATATATAAATATACATATTATATTTTGATCACTTATTTGTATGTAATTAATGTGTAAGTTTTTAGAAGCTTTTTAAATCGGGCATAATTTTGTTCTGCTTTTATAACTGATGGTAACTTATTATAAATTGTACCACCCTCATACTCCAAACTTCTTTTGCCATAGTTAGTTCTAGGAGGGCGGGTCACCAAGTAACTAGCACGTCTTAAGTTAGCATTTCGTGTTTGTTGTTTGGTTAAAATTTTTATATTAGAATTAATTTCCCTATTTAATATTTTGCGTACTAGAATACAAGTGTAGTATGTGTACGTTTGTTTAATATTCATTAATTTTGTTTCCTCGTATATCCTTTCCGTAGGCGTCCGAAGTTTATAGTTAAATAAGTTTTTAATCAATCTATTCAGAGTTCTCTGGATAGGATCCAAATTACTCTTTGCTGCAGTACCCCAGACCTCAATGAGGTAGTCGACATGAGGCTTAACCAGAGAATTATAGATCAGATACCGCACTTTTTGTGGGAGACAATTTGTTATGTTTCGCAGTGCCCCTGTGAGCGGAGTTAGTTTAAGTTTAATTTTTTCTAGATGTGGCTTCCAAGTTAGGTTACTATCCAAAATAAGTCCGAGATATTTTTCTTTATGTTTTCGTTCAAGTATTTTTCCGTCTATTTTAAGTTCGAAATTATTATTTATTTTTTTATTTTTTGCTGCAAAAATAACATAATTTGTTTTTGTAATATTAATAGTTAAAAGATTTGATTGAAACCACTCATTTAACAGATTAAGATCATTTTGAGCGTCAGCTATTAGAGCTCCGATCGAGTTTCCAAAGTAAAAGAGACTTGTGTCGTCTGCATAAAGGGAGATGTCACCTTTGAGACCCAAATCACTGATACTGTTAATATAAATGAGGAACATGAGGGGGGCCTAATATTGATCCCTGGGGAACGCCAAAATTCAGGATACAGGAATTGCTTTCATATTCACCTATTTTTACTATTTGTTTTCGGTTCTCCATATATGATTTAAAAATTTCAAGTGCTTTGCCTGTAACACCGGTAAGTTTTAGTTTTTGTAATAATTTTTCATGACTAATGGTGTCAAAGGCTTTTTTAGATCGATAAATATACCTAAGGCAACTTGTTTTTGATCAATTTTATTTTTAATTTTGGTTACGAGGTCAATTGTGGCAGCGAGAGTATTTGATTGAGCTCTAAAGCCATATTGTTTTCGGTAAAAGAAACCTTTTGAATTAAGGAATGACTCTAATTGGTTATAAAGAATCTTCTCAAAGACCTTAGAAAGCACTGGGAGAACTGATATAGGGCGATAATTGCACGGGTCAAGCTTACTTCCGGCTTTATGAATTGGTACAACTTTTGCAACCTTTAACTCGTTGGGAAAAATACCTCGTGCCAAATGATAGTTAATGCAGACTGTTAGTTCCGTGGCAATAATGTCTTTTACGCATTTAATTGATTTTGTACTAATACCATCAATGCCAGATGCAGTGTTACAGTCCAAATTTTTAATTATGGTAATAACTTCTTTCGTGGTTACTGGTTTCAGAAATCGCAATTCTGTTCTATCAGTTAGACTACACTCTTCTAAAATCTGAGGTACTTTTGATTTTTTAGAAATCATATTTGCTAGGGTTGAGCCAATAGTCGAAAAATATGAGTTAAAACTTTCACATATTTCTTTTTTGTCCGTAATAGTACCAGCTGCCGTTTCAAGTTTGTCTGGTCCAGGTCTGTCATGCACTTTGTTTTTAGCTAAGTCATTTATAAGTCTCCACATTTTTCGTGGTTTACTAGAATTTTCTTCAAACCTCTTCAGATAATATTCACTTTTCGCTTTTCTTATATTGTGTGATACTCTTGCTTTAATATGTTCGTACTCTGCTTTTAATTTCGTGTCCACCGCATTTGTTTTATATTTTTGCCATAATATGTTCTTGCTATTTATCTCTTCTAATAGTTCTTTTTTAATCCAGTCTTGCCGCGGAGGATTCAATGTTTTAAATTTTGTGATTCTGCACTTATTTAAACAGGATTTCAGTTTCCCTGCCAATTCATCATACTCAACGTCTTCATGATTTTTAGGATATTCATCCAGGCATCGATAAAGTTTGCTGAAGTCAACTGCGTTGTATTGCTGTTTTATGATAGTTGGTGGTTGGTATTGCTTTATCTCTAAAAGTATTTGTTTGTGGTCAGACATTGAAGATTCCGTAGTGATAAAATGAAAATTATTTTCACTTAAATTACAAGATACATGGTCTAACATTGTCCTGGTTGAGGTTGTTTCGCGGGTACAGTGTTTTGGGCTTATTTTGTTCAGGATTTTGTAGTTGTTCTCTTTTAAGGTGTTCTTATATTTGCGTGTCGCTGAGTCCGGGTTGAGTAAGTCCAGGTTGTAATCGCCAAAGACTATTGTTCGTTTCAGTTTGTGTAATTGTTGTGAATATATCTCGAGAAAGTTATCCATTTTTATTTTATTAGGCTTATAAATGGCACCGATATTTAGAGAGAATTTTTTCACGTATACCCAGAGATAATGAGTATCATCGACGCATTTTTCTTCAACAAGGTGATGTTTGAGATTGTTGTACACAAATATTGACACTCCACCGCCCCTTTTATTTTCTCTATAATTAAAGTAATAGGTATAGGAGGGTATCTGGAGCATTTTTGCCTCATCTTCACTCTTAATCCAAGTTTCCGTTAGTATAATGATATGTATGGTTACTTGTAAAGAAGCGATAATACATCTAAGCTCATCTAATTTTCCAGGTTTGACAATACTGCGAGAGTTGGCATAGAAAAATTTCAGAGATTTTTTTGTAAAAATAATATCTGTGTAATTGTTGGTTATTTGGTAAGTTATTTTCTCTTTGGACGTCATCAGTTTTTTGGAGTTTCCTTTATTGTTGTTTCTTGCGTTTATAAGTTCGGTTATATGAGGTAAAGCTAGTTTTTTGTAATTGTTGTAATTTTTGGTATGTTGTTTACATATTTTATAGTGAGATCTTTTTCACCCTTTTCGATCCTTAGGGCAAGTTCGTCTCGCAGACCTTTTAGCTGATCTCTTTGGTACGGGGTCATATCTGAATAAACTCTAACGGGTTTACCAATTTTACTCTTGTTTTTTAAAATATCGGTAGCGGTGCGTTTATTCTCGAAGACGACTTTTATCGGACGTGGCTGTGAGGGGTTAACGACTGCCGGTTTACCTAGGCGAAACACATGCACTATCTTGGGGTCAGGGATTGGTATTGGATTGAAGGCGTCAGCTATCTTAGCTTTGTCGTAATCCTTTCTTTCCTCTGAAGAAC